AATACATCCCAGTTCATATGAATTTTTAAAAGTACCAATTTTGTTTATATAAGAGCTGTCACACCCTCGTATAAAACTTGAAATAATAATAGGAAAAAGAAACTATAGATTAAGCAGTCTTATAAATATTATGCTAGAATTGTAAATTAGATAATGATAAATTGAATATAGTAGTATATTAAAAGATTTCTATAACAACATTAAGTAGAATTTTTTTAAATGGAAAGACATTTAAGATCATAAATCCATCAATTCATAAAGCCAACAATAAAAGCTTACATAGCATTTAATATTTAGCAAAAGTCTCAAATAAAACTTCTTTTAAAAACAGGCATAGATAAAGCAAGTACTCAGAGATTTCATCACCACCAGGCCTGCTTTACAAGAGCTCCTGAAAGAACCACTAAACATAGAAAGGAACAACTATTACCAGCCACTCCAAAAAGATACCAAATGGTAAAGAGCATCAATACAATGAAGAAACCGCATCAGCTAATGGGCAAAACAGCCAGCTAGCATCAAAATGACAGGATAAAATTCATACATAACAATATTAACCCTAAATGTAAATGGGCTAAATGCCCCAATCAAAAGACACAGACTGGCAAATTGGATAAAAAGCCAAAACCCATCGATGAGCTGTATCCAGGAAACCCATCTCACATGCAAGGATACACAAAGGCTCAAAATAAAAGGATGGAGGAAGATTTACCAAGCAAATGGAGAGAAAAAAAAAAAAAAAAAAGCAGGGGCTGCAATCCTAGTCTCTGATAAAATAGACTTTAAACCAACAAAGATCAAAAGACACAAAGAAGGACATTACATAATGGTAAAAGGATCAATGCAACAAGAAGAGCTAATGATCCTCAATATATACGTACCCAATACAGGAGCACCCAGATACATAAAGCAAGTTCTTAATGACTTACAAAGAGACTTAGACTCCCACACAATAATACTGAGAGACTTTAACACCCATTGTCAATATTGGACAGATCAATGAGACAGAAAATTAACAAGGATATCCAGGACTTGAACTCAAGCCTGGACCAAGCAAACCTAATAGACATTTACAGAACACTCCAAATCCACAGAATATACATTCTTCTCATCACCACATTACACCTACTCTAAAATTGACCACATAATTGGAAGTAAATCACTCCTGAGCAAATGCAAAAGAATGGAAATCATAAAAAACAGTCTCTCAGACCACAGTGCAATCAAGTTAGAACTCAAAATTCGGAAACTAACTCAGAATCGCACAGCTTCATGGAAATTGAACAACTGGCTCTTGAATGTTGACTGGAAAAACAATGAAATGAACGCAGAAATAAAGATGTTCCTCAAAAACAACGAGAACCAAGACACAACATACCAGAATCTCTGGGACACATTTAAAGCAATCTCTAGAGGAAAATATACAGCCATAAATACCCACATGAGAAAAAAGGAAAGATCTAATATGGACACCCTGTTGTCAAAATTGAAAGAGCTAAAGGAGCAAGATAAAAAACTCAAAACCTAGCAAAAGACAAGAAATAACTAAGATCAGAGCAGAACTGAAGGAGTTAGAAACTCAAAAAACCCTTCAAAAAATCAATAAATCCAGGAGCTGGTTTTTCAAAAAGATCAACAAAACAGACAGACCGCTAGCCAGATTAATAGAAAAGAGAGAAGAATCAAATACATGCAATAAAAAATGATAAAGGGGGTATCACCACAGATTCCACAGAAATAAACCATCATCAGAGATTATTACAAACAACTCTGTGCACATAAACTAGTAAACCTGGAAGAAATGGATACATTCCTGGACACTTGCATCCTCCCAAGCCTAAACCAGGAAGAAGTCGAAACCCTGAATAGACCAATAACAAGGGCAGAAGTTGAGGCAGCAATTAGAGCCTACCACCCAAAAAAAGCCCAGGTCCTGATGGGTTCACAGCTGAATTCTACCAGACATACAAAGAGGAGCTGGTACCATTCCTTCTGAAACTACTCCAAACAACCCAAAAAGAGGGAATCCTTCCCAAATCATTTTATGAGACGAACATCATCCTGATACCAAAATCTGACAGAGACTCAGCAAAAAAAGAAAACTTCAGGCCAATATCCATGATGAACATAGATGCAAAAATCTTCAATAAAATACTGGCAAACCGATTGCAACAGCACATCAAAATGCTTATCCACCATGATCAAGTACTTCTGAAACTATTGAAAATAATCCAAAAAGAGGGAATCCTTCCCAAATCATTTTATGGGACCAACATGATCCTGATACCAAAACCCGGCAGAGACTCAGCAAGAAAAGAAAACTTCAGGCCAATATCCATGATGAACATAGAAGCAAAAATCTTCAATAAAATACTGGCAAACTGATTGCAACAGCACATCAAAAAACTTATCCACCATGATCAAGTAGGATTCATCCCGGGGATGCAAGGCTGGTTCAACATATGCAAGTCCATAAATGTAATTCACCACATAAACAGAACCAAAGACAAAAAACACATGATTATCTTAATTGAGGCAGAGAAGGCCTTTGACAATATTCAAAAGCCCTTTATGCTAAAAACCCTCAGTAAACTCAGTATTGACTGAACGTATCTCAAAATAATAAAAGCTTTTTATGACAAACCAACAGCCAATATCATATTGAATGGCAAAAACTGGAAGCATTCCCCTTGAAATCTGGCACTAGACAAGGATGCCCTCTCTAACCACTCCTATTCAATATAGTATTGGAAGTTCTAGCCAGAACAATCAGGCAAGAAAAAGAAATAAAGGGTATTCAAATAGGAAAGGAGGAAGTCAAATTGTCTCTATTTGCAGATGACATGATTGTATATTTAGAAGACCCCATAGTCTCAGCCCAAAATCTCCTGAAACTGATAAGCAAATTCAGCAAAGTCTCAGGATACAAAATCAATGTGCAAAAATCGCAAGCATTGCTATACACCAATCACAGACTTAAAGAGAGCCAAATCAAGAACGAACTGCCAATCACAATTGCTACAAAGAGAATAAAATACCTAGGGTTACAACTAACAAGGAACGTAAAGGACCTCTTCAAGGAGAACTACAAATCACTGCTCAATGAAATAAGAGAGGACACAAACAGATGGAGAAACATTCCATGGTCATGGTTAGGAAGCATCAATATTGTGAAAATGGCCATACTGACCAAAGTAATTTACAGATTCAACACTATCCCCATCAAGCTACCAATGAACACCTTCACAGAACTGGAAAAAAACACTTTAAACTTCATATGGAACTAAAAGAGAGCCCGCATAGCCAAGTCAATTCTAAGCAAAAAGAACAAAGCAGGAGGCATCACACTACTGGACTTCAAACTATACTACAAAGCTACAGTAATCAAAACAGCATGGTACTGGTACCAAAACAGAGATATAGACCAATGAAACAGAACAGAGGTCTCGGAGGCAACGCAACATATCTACAACCATCTGATCTTTGACAAACCAGACAAAAACAAGAAATGGGGAAAGAATTCCCTATTTAATAGTGTTGGGAAAACTGGCCAGCCATGTGCAGAAAGCAGAAACTGGACCCCTTCCTGACACCTTACACTAAAATTAACTCCAGATAGATTAAAGATTTACCTTAAGACCTAACACCATAAAAACGCTAGAAGAAAACCTAGGGAAAACCATTCAGGACATAGGCATAGGCAAGGACTTCATGACCAAAACACCAAAAGCATTGGCAACAAAAGCCAAAATAGACAAATGGGACCTAATCAAACTCCACAGCTTCTGCACAGCAAAAGAAATAGTCATTAGAGTGAATCAGCAACCAACAGAATGGGAAAAAATTTTTGCAATCTACCCATCTGACAAAGGGCTGATATCCAGAATCTACAAAGGGCTGATATCCAGAATCTACAAAGAACTAAAATAAATATACAAGAAAAAAACAAGCCCATTCAAAAGTGGGCAAAGGGTATGAACAGACACTTTACAAAAGAAGACATACATGAGGCCAACAAACCTATGAAGAAATGCTCATCATCACTGGTCATTAGAGAAATGCAAATCAAAACTACATTGGGATACCATCTCACGCCACTTAGAATGGCGATCATTAAAAAATCTGGAGACAACAAATGCTAGAGAGGATGTGGAGAAATAGGAACACTTTTACACTGTTGGTGGGAGTGCAAATTAGTTCAACCATTGTGGAAGACAGTGAGGCGATTCCTCAAGGACCTAGAAATAGAAATTCCATTTGACCCAGCAATCCCATTACTGGGTATATAGCCATAGGATTATAAATCGTTCTACTATAAGGACACATGCAGCCATATGTTCATTGCATCACTGTTTACAATAGCAAAGACCTGGAACCAACCCAAATGGGTATCGATGATAGACTGGACAGGGAAAATAGGGCATATATACACCATGGAATACTAAGCAGCCATAAAAAATGATGAGTTCATGTCCTTTGTAGTGACATGGATGAACCTGGAAACTATCATTCTCAGGAAACTGACACAAGAACAGAAAATCAAACACCACATGTTCCCACTCATAGGTGGGTGTTGAACAATGAGAACACATGGACATAGGGAGGGTAGCATCACACACTGGGGTCTGCACACGGGAAATAGGGGAGGGACAGTGTGGGGTGGGGAGTTGGGGAGAGATAGCATGGGGAGAAATGCCAGATATAGGTGATGAAGAGGAAGGCAGCAAATCACACTGCCATGTATGTACCTATGCAACAGTCTTGCATGTTCTTCACATGCACCCCAAAACCTAAAGTACGATAAAAAAAATAGCCATAGATTGAAACAAATGTGTTAAAGACCATTTCAACCAGAAAATGGTAGAGTGAATTAATAGATGAAATAATAAGGCTATTTGCACTAAATTTGGTTGTAAATTGCCTGTCAGTATTTTCATTTAACACCATTTTGAAAGAACTAACTAATGAAACAAGACAACAAGTTGAAGTTATACATATAAATGCTGAAAATGTACTTACATTTTAAAGAATATACTTTTATCTGTCTTAGAAGCATGAGAGACCTGAGGAAGATAAGATAGAATGAAATAATTAGTTGACTAAGTGTAAGGTAAATATTTAGCAACAATCTATTCAAAATAGAACTGAAACCAAAATACTGGTATAATACTGAAAACAATGCAAAATGAAAACGAATAATTTAGAGTGAAAATTTCAGATCTCAGATCTTGTTAATGTACAAAACCTACGTGTAAATAGACATCACAGAATGTTATGTTGAGTTTTAAAGGTAAATTTCATATATTAATAATTTTAATGGCAATCAAAATGGAAAAAATTAACAAAAATCTCACAAAATATTTTTTTAATATTCAGTGGGAAAAAAATTTAGAGGAAAATCTGAGAATGGCAAAAAGTTTAAGCAAAATTACTTTCTTATTATTCTATATGAAGTTTTAAAATATATCACAGCTACTAAAAGTACATTCATGTAATATGAATATACATAATTTGAAAAAAGAATTATTCATTTAATAAGTACTAATATAAGTTGCCTACTTATAAGAAAATACCTACGGATCTCTAGTTTCCATAGCAAATACATGTATATTTTATACAGATACATTTTTATTTTATTTTTCTTGTGGCTATGTAAAACTAAAAGACAAACAAGTATTTGGGAACTATTTGCAATACACATAAGAAACTAATCACTGTACACTTTCAGTTATGTGAAAAGCCTTATAAATTGTTAAATGGAAGAAAAAAACTCCTTTATCCAGTTTCCCATAAAGAAATGGTCACATAGCGTATAATACACATTAAAAAAATCAAAATGGCCATTATCAAGTACTCTGGCTACATCATAAGGAAAATAAAATAACAATGCAACCAAAACAATGTTGCCATTTTCACCTGTTCATTTAATTGACAAATATTTAAATAAAGCATTCTGACCAAAAAGAAAAGAGACAAAGGTATTGGTACTCCATTACATTATTTGTTGAGGTCTAACTAGGTAAAATATCATATGAAAGTAACATGGCAATTTCATTTAAATGAAATTTTTACATACTCTTTTATCCAGAAATCCCACTTTGAAGAAATTATTCTCTAGTTACTAGTACCAGAATGTAAAATGATTTTATATAAGAAGACACACAAAAATCACGTCATAGCATTGCGTGTTATGGCTAGACATAGAAATTATGACTCTCCTTCAATAGTAGTAGACTAAATAATTAATATAGAATATCATAAAACAAGAAAAAAGTGAATTTCATTTAAATATATAGTGACCAGAAAGACTGTTGTCATTAATGTCCTATTAATACATTGCATTTGTCTAAAAACTATTATATAAATACACCCGCTTTGATTTATCCTTTTGTTACAATTCTCACAGAATGCTATAACATTCAATATTTATTTATGTACGAGTATATTTCAGATATAATAATTTTGTGTTTGTGTGAATAAAAGAATGTGACTTTTGTACTGAACTCAGAGCCCTCAAATAAAAGAAACAGAATGAAAGAATCGATTCATTTTGATTACAAAATTGAGACTAGAAAAGCAGGCTGCTTTTATGGAAATAGGTATTTGGTTCGGTATGTAGCTTGTATAGAGAACATCATGGAAGATAAACTGCTTACTCTGTCCCTTCAATGATGGTTGTGATCTGAAACTGAAATGAACTATTTTGTTGCACATAAAAATTTACTTGTAAACATAATATTATTCCCTACTGTCTCTGACAATATTGTACAATTCCCTATCTTTACCCATTACATTCTGAACTGATAAACCCAGATCCGTATCACTGATCTGAAGCTCTGGACTTACATTCAACTGTATACAGCATATCTCTACTTTAATGTCTCATAAAACTTTCCATTTCAACAGGTTCATTGTTGAACTGATAGGAAGTGGGGTGGAAGAGCTTCAGACCAGGCTTGAACTTCCTATCTAATATTTAGTAGCTATGTGAGGTTGGACAATGTATTGTCTTTGTTAGCTTTCTGACTTACAGAATGTAGGTGTCAACAGCTACTTCATAGAAGATTAAATTATATTTGTGTGTGAGGAAACCTCTGGATAAACCCATCTTAAGAGAAGAAATTCTAGGTCCTTAACCATGTAACAATTGTCCTAGTTCTGTGATGAGGTGGACTTGTGACTTTCACTGGGAGAACATTGTTCTGCAAAACATATGTGTTAGATTCCCATGAGACTATATATATATGTGAAATTTAAAAGTACAGGGAAGAAAGTTGCCATATCTCATATAGTCTTTATAGAGTTCACTATGTTAGGATAATTTCTACGGTCTTGATGCCTTGTGTTACATCTATAATAGGAGAAAGATCTGATTTTAAAGAGCAGTAACTGAATAAAGGAAAGTTGTAATTGGATATAAATAACCGTCAGTCTTCTCAGGCTTTATCAAAAAAAGGTGGGCTCACCACCAGGGAGCAGCAATTGACTGTAGGAGGATGTATTTCCAACATTCCTTGTAATACCCATGTGGGTAGTGGAGATGAGGGACTGTGGGCATGCGGATCCTTCATTCTGTGTGGGCCTTTGCAGCAATTCAAGAATTCACCATTATTTGATGTTATCGTTGTTTAAAAGTAAAGAAACTCTGTTGAAAGGCATTTCTAATATTCTTTTTCTTGAGTTTTGACTTTTCACTATTTGCCTTTTAAAAAGAATGAATAATCTTGCAGGGCCTGCTGAGAAAGAGGGATTCCTCACCTCCATCTGTGCTTATACTTTGCCTAAAACAGTTTTGTATGTAGCATGCTGCCAGGTACCAAATAAATGCTCATTAAATTAAAGCTATCATTGTGTTCAGGAATTATTCTGCCTCTCAAGATACATGTAACTCTATTCATTGCTCTTACTTTAGTGAAAAATATTATTATGCATTCTTTGCCAGATCAGAAGCCTGAAAATCATCTTACCTTATAAACCTCTCTTTACTGCTGTCACTGCTCTACTAGGTTCTGGTGTTTTTATCTCCTGGCTGATACTTATTTGAGTCTCTACCTTTTTACCATAGCTGGCTTACATTTAGCCTTGCCTACTTTTCTCTTGGATGTTGCAGTAACCTCCCGCCGTCCAGTTTTACCCCATTCCATTCCCTATGCTGCTAACAAAATGAACTTTAAAAATCATGTGAATCTGATAAAATTCCAGTCCTCCAGTCTTCCTGTCCAGATTAAAGTTCTTAATTAGCTCTTAAAAGCTTTCAAAATACATTATCATTTACCAAGTTTAATCCTCATGATTTATTTCTTTTTCCACCCCAGTTATTCTACTACCAGTCATCAAAAAGCAACCATTGGTCTGCAATTTTGGCTACTTATAATTCCTTAAATATATTATTTCATGACTCTGTGCTTTCCCATATATGGTTCATACTACCTGAAACAATAGCAAAATTTATCCTATTATCCTGCCTAGATTTAGCTAGCATCAATTCATTCATAGTTAACGGAGCATCTTTTGCCTGAAAGGGGGCAATACGTGATGTGTTTTTATCCTCACAAAATTTACAGTTCACTCAGACTGGTAAGGTAGAAAAGACTTGAATTATTATTTCAGCTTTGATCTAGTGATTAAAATATCTGTTTTTGGTTTTAGGGTCTTCTGGTGTATCATGGTTTATAAAGTACCAAAACATGAACTTTGTTGTGGGGATAGAACCTTTATGAAATATATCCTTCAGCAGCTCATACATCTGCAGTATCATCCCTGAATCTCTGACAGCCTCAACCCTCCCAGGCTTCCTTTACTTCCTGGTTTTTGGAGCTCATTATCCTATATCCTGTCAATCTTCTGTTCAAGTAGCCTGACCCCCACCCACCATGATACAGGCAGAAAGGACTTTCTGATATCTGCTTTTGTCTCTACAGGGAGGTGATTCATTTCACTGTGGGCAGGACCATTCTTCCTGGACTGGTGAGCAGAAAAATCAAAATTGCAATTCCCAGATGTGGTGGTGTTCGAAGCTTCATTTAAGGTCACTGAACAGAACAGAAAGTTACCCAAGAAATAAGACCAGCTCTATCAGAGACCATGGAATCAGAATAACCTGGTTGCAGAAAGGATCAAAGTCATAGGAAGCACCAGGACCAGAGAACAGAAAATGGCTTATTTTATCATTGTAAAGACTCTTTAATATTTGTATCTCCTTACGACATAAGGATAAATGTTATCCTTTATGTTAATATACATAAATAAATTTATGCATTTAAATACAAATTATGTTTTTCTTGATGTTTTGGTATATATTTAATCTAAAATATATCAAGTATTTAATAGCACTACTTAGAAATATGTCCTAACTAATTAAACAGAAATCTTAGTATTATTACCTGAAATAAATCCTGAAAGATGAGTACTGTAATTTCACACTGAAATTGCAATCATTAATTTGATCTGCAAGGTAATCGGGCACCAGGCATTCAAGTCAGCAGATATCAGAGCATCATGGCCTAATCAGGTCAGTAATGGAAATGAATGTATCAGTAGTACTCAGAAGATTTGGTGGGTCAAGTCAAAAAGGAGATGCAGTTTTCTCATTCAGAACTACATTGCTGAGGAATCAAGCAAGAGATTTAGCAGTGGGAAAAGAGAATAAACCTTTTTATGTTGAAGGGAATGATTTGACTAGGCAAGCAAACAGATCAGAATGTAGCCTTGGAATCTGGTTAAGAAAAGTGAAGATCTCAATATTGCCTCTGATAAAAAATAATGTTCTACGAACTTCAGGAAATTTCTTGGAAGATAAAGATTTCTGTACTTTCCCTGCTGAATTTGTTGTGTATTTAGAACCTACAAATTGAAATTCTTAAACTAGTGATTTTTTTTTTAATTTAGACATAAAAATTAACATGAAACAAGACTTGAAATGTTTCTGTACTAGGTGATGAGATGAATTATGAGTGAGCCAAAGTAGCAATCAGTCTCATTTTAGTGTAAGTACATAAGTATTATATCTAACTTTTTTGGTGGGGGGGGAGGAGGAACAATCACATATAGCCTATATGCATAA